GTTAGGCCTTGTCCTAAGTTGTATGTCAAAGGTTCGACTGCAGATGGCTGAGTTGTCAACTTGCAGACAAGGGTTCAGGGGATGATATACCTGCCAACTCTCACGCCTGCGGGTTGTAAACTTCGATCTCACGCCTGCTCACGCCTGCGCGCCAATTTCTCACGCCTGATTGAAAAATGTGAGTTGTTACCATCCTGCTTGACACAATTTCCAAAAATACGTTAACTCAGACCCATGTAAGGAACGAAAACCATGTGTAAAATGAATAAATGGCAATACCTTCCTCGCGATCTCTGATTTTTGAAGTGAAAAGCACTGGGAGCGAGCTCGCCTTTGGCAGACTTCGGCAGACTTCGGACGTCTTCGGAAGACTTCGGACTTCTTCGGGAATCTTCGAAAATGATCGTGAAGTCTTCAAAAATCCCAGCACTCTCAGGATAAAAATCTCACGCTTATATCTCAGAAAAAGTTGGCAGGTATAGGAAGATTGGGTTAGGGTTCATTAGCAGTCCCAGGAATGGCAATGAGTCTTGTGAGGGCCTGTTCACAAGGATGGAGGGTAACCCTGGTGCTTGGGTTACCCTAACAAGAGGGTTACCCTAGCACTCGCTAGGTTAACGTCAATCACTCTTCGTATTTTATGCAGTGTGTTTACAAGGCAGGTAGGGTTACCCTGGTGCAAGGATAACCCTAGCACTCAAGAAGGGTTACCCTAGCAAGAGGGTTACCCTACCTCCCTCGTAAACGCTCTTCAACGGATCACTTGCCTACCTGGGACAACTTTGCTTTGTCATGTGTGACCAGTTATCTTGAAAATGTTAACAGAATTATCCAAGTTTTCGAGTTAAATTTTAAACATGTGAACAATGTTAGGTATTTTTGTTCCGTTTTTTGTGAATTTAACGTGTTTTTCATGGAGATCTTCCAGTTTTCATTCATGTCTTGAATTTTATGAAGAATGTCTATGTATAGTCTTATGTGGTCACGCATGATGAAACATGTCTGTCAGGTTTGTAATATTGTCCTATCCCCAGCTGTTTAAAAGCTGGGTGCTATCCACCGGATAAATCACTATCCAGTGGATAGTATTAGGGAAACCAATTGCGCTATCCGCCTTTTGATCAACTGGGACCTTGGTAACCCTACGTAATAAATTTTGCTTGTAAACCATCTGGAGTTATCTTTAACCTACTTACTAGGGTAACCCTAGCACCAGGGTTTCCCTCCCTCCTTGTAAACAGGTCCTAAGGTGGCTCTAACTTTTAATTCTGTTGAACTTTCACAATGTCCTTTTGTTTTTTAGCATTTTACAAAATGAAATTTGGGAATTTTAGGGAATTTTGACTTAGACAATTTCTGGGAGTGACAGGGTAAGCTAACGGACCTTGTGTCACACCTGCAAATTACACTTTCCGACTGTTGACTGTAGGGGCTGTTAACATGGAGGGAGGAAGACCCTAGCACCTGGAAGATCCCTCAAGGTGGATCATCCCAACCAAATATGATTTTCTGTATTGAGTTTACATGCAAAGGGTTGTACTTGTCCCTAGCGCTAGGATCTTCCTAGGTGGCAGGGAAAATGATCCTAGTGCAAAGAAGATCCTAGCACTGGTACCATGCAAACTGCTTTTGCTAGGGTGATCCCATTACTAGGAACAAACTAGACGAAAATGGCAGCATGTCCTTCAGTGGGTGATCTTGGCAATAAAGGCCAGCTATTTTGTTGGGCGTTACAGAAAATCTTACAGTATAAGTTTTTAAGAGCTGTCAGCTGCTGCTGCTGAAACATAGTTTTGATCTCTAATTAAGAGAGCAGAAAAACCTAAATTACATGTTTGTTGATATTGCCACCCACAATCTTTAATTTCTTCTCTTATTGGTAATCAAGATATTGTTTAGGCATTTGTATCACCATTTAGTAGTATTTCAAACTGAACATTAGTTCTGGCATAATTATGTTGATACTCTCATGTAATTCCCTTGGAAACCATACCCTTTCTCGTACCATAATGGGAAAAATCTATGCCCCCTTTAATACCGACCAAAACAAGCCCAAAAATGCTATCCTTTAAGATAGCACATGCCTATAGAGCTTATATACAGTCTTCGTCATTGTTTCAGGAGCTTGATTCTGTCAAGGAAGAAGTGAGTATAGAAATAAAGAAAGAAGCTGAAACAGCTGAAGATGAAAAAGATACAGATACAAAAGAAACTGCAAGCAAAGCGGGTATTGATGAAACAAGCACGGAACAAAAAGAGGAGGATGCTACAACTGAAGCAGGAAAACCAGCTGAAAGAACAGAGGCTGGTCAAGATGAGAAACCTGAAGCTGTTGCTATAGCAATGGACGAGACTGTTGTGCCTGTTGAGGAGGAGGTCAAAACTGAGGCTGCCGAGGGAGGGGAGAGTGTGGTAAAAACTGGGAGTACTGAGGGAGGAGAAGACGAGAATGTTGAACATGTTGTTGTGCCTGTTGAGGAGGAAGTCAAAAGTGAGGCTGCCGAGGGAGGAGAGGGTGTGGTAAAAACTGGGAGTACTGAGGGAGGAGAGGGTGAGCCAAGTCAAGAAGATGCTGTACCAGTCACGATGGAAACTACAGTTACAAATGAAAATGAGACGGGAGAAGATCACTCAAAGTATGATGAGCTTGATGATGAACTTCCTTGGGCAATGTACCGTTCATTGGACACGCCTCCACAAAGGCCACCTGTGGAAGAAGATGATGACTGGCCAGCATCTGATGATGATGGAGATTATGGTAATAATGTTACTGTTATACATTTACTTTGATATTGTTAAACTTACATTTAAAGCGGCCATGTCACGCTACTTGCTATCTTTTTAAAAAGCCAAAACTTGTCCTCGCATCAATTTAATTCCAAAACTAATGGTCCAGTTTTGTTATTTAAAACTATTTTTAGGCATTGAAACTTTTTCCTGTTGTCTGTTGCAACAGATTGCAAGGATGGATGTGGATTAAAACTTAAAAAAACTTGGGCCAACGTTTTCAATTTTTAATCCTTTGCCTGCAAAAATCACCAAAAACTTATAGTGGTTAGTGCTCCCCGATGAAATTTGTGTGGTATCGTCTTCATAACTCTACAGGAACATTTTGTGAATGAGTAGAGGCACTGAGTAATGACTTCAGCTCAGAATTGAGTACCCAAAACAGCAATACAGCGATTTTTGTTTGACCTTGAAATGAAAATGTGCAGACAACAAACGAACGGAAATAGAGCGATTTGATTGGTTTATCAAACCAATACAAATGCGCATGGTTTTTGGTTGGTTAAGCGAATGCTTGGGTGGAAAAATTTCATGCCCAAGAGCTTTCTAGAAATCAACCAATACTTTGCTTTGACGTCATACTGCAACATGATTGGCCAATCGAATAATGCCTTCCCCATATTAGGGTTTTCTTTGACGGGAAAATGAAGAGGCCATATTTTGATCTTTTCATCTATTGGCTGATAAAAAAAGTAACGAACACTTACTGAAACCATTTTTCAAGGTCATACGAAAATCGCTCTATCCTCGTGACATAGCCCTTTCAACAAACTGTTGATCAAGGAGATCTGGCCAAATAGGTAATCCCTGGGTATGAGATTAGCCAAGTAGGTACCTTATACAGCTGTATATTAGAAGAACCACTCTCCATTCTCTAAACAATGTACATGTACCAATGGACTACTTCAGCCTGTTGTTTAAGATTAGGGGCTATAATAATGGACGTTTTTATCACACTGCCTTGCAAACAAACTTTTGCATCTGGGTAAATTCTTAATAATGTAAAATAAAGTATCAAAAACACACACATGTACTGGATTAGCAGAGTGGAATTGGTTGTTTTCACTGATATGTATTTATTCCATGGAAGTCATTGAAGTAATAAGTTATTTTGCAACAGTGAACTGTCAAAAACTGATAAAGGTAAATGACTTTTTATGCCATAGGACTTAAGTAATTTTTACAATGTGTAGTGTCATTAATGGAGCACCATAGAATTAGTAAAGTGAATTGTAAAAATATCTTTTAATTCTCTTTTTTAGCCCCACCAAAGAATGATGATCTCCCGGACCTTGATATGCTGATGGGAACCCTAGATGGGGGTGAATCTGAGTTGGAGACAACAGCATCACCACCGCCTCTGATACTTCCTGAGGAAAAACATGCAAAGCAGCGACGAATTGAGGAACTCAAGCAAGGAATTGCTAATGATCCTATTGATCTTTATGATGAGGAATTTGAAAAAAGGGTGGAAGATGAAATTCTTATGATTGGGAACATTTCATTGGAGATGGTTCAGGTATACATATTTGGGTATCTGTGTCGTGGTTCAATGTTTTCTTTTGTTTGAAATTCATTGAAGAAGTTGAATTTTTCTCTTTATGTGTCAAACAATGTACAGTAATAAATATACTAAAAAACTTTGAAGGGATACAATATGTGATCTGTGATCTTTTCTTTGCTCCTGTATTTTCCTCATCCTTCCTTGATTAGCTCAGCTATTTAATTATGAGTGAAGGATATTATAATTACCAGTATGCATGAATAAAACTTGAACTTGAAATAATAGAAGAATAAATTATTAGACATTTTAATGTCTTTTAAAAAAGCACCCAAAAGAAATGCGAAGAATTGGTTACTGATGTTAATATTTTTTGATAGAGTCGTGATGGACAGCTCTGATCATTGTTTCTTGGCAACGCATTCTTACTGATTTTATTCATTCATTTTGCTTGTAAGGATCAATTTTCATAAGCCATGTGTTGATTAAAGTTTTTTTACAATGTCTATGTTACAGGTCAAAATTATATTGTGGTTCAAAGTTTTGAACCTAGGTTGATTCTCAGTTTCCTTTGTTTTCTTGAATTTCCCTGATTATTCATGAATTAAGGAAATTGACAATCAACCTGGGTTAAAAATTTTAACCAGTGAATATGATTTTGACCTGTAACATCTGTGTTTCAAATATTATTTTGATTTCTTTCTTTTTTTACTTTAATGTGTTGTAACTTTTTTCTGCAGGAAGAGGAGCGTCGACTGCGGGATGAGCACATAGCATATCAGCAACAGCAAGCCAAAGTACAACGTGAAAGGCAGGAAGATTTGTTAATGAGAGAAGCTAAAGCCAAAAAAGAAGTGATGAAGGTGATGAGGGCAAAAAGGAAGCGTCTTCAACAAAGAGAGGTGAGTAAGGTGGCTTAAATATTTGTGTGCTTTAAGGTAAAACTGTTTTGGTCACCATGTCAGTCAGGAAACAAAATGTTGTGTCTAAGGTTGATGGTAAGCAGCTGATCTGGGTATTTCTGAGTGGAAGATCTTTCAATCCACACTTACCATCAATGCAGGTCAAGCGTACCCCCCAAGATTCTATTAATGAATTGATTATTTGAAAAATGAATCTTTTAGTTGTTCCCATAACTAGTGTTGAATTCAAATCGGCATTCCTACATGAGCAATGGCAGGCAATATTTTATGAGAACTTCCCAGTAACTGGTAAGATAAAACATCTTTGAATGGATTAAATTTCTCAGAAGACATTCACATCAAATTCAGGGAAACTGAGCTGATAGAAATGTCGTAACTGCCTCACGTGTGAATTCACGGCTTATTACACGTGCAAGAATGCAGAGATGAATCTAAAGTCTACAACTACCAATGGATTCAACTTTCCAGTAATAAATTCATTAATGGAATCTTGGGGGTTACGTTTGACCTAGCTTGACTGTAAAGTTGCAACCATTTTGGTTGTCGTGGAAATCACAAAACAGTAATCATTTTGGCTGTGTATATTATGTGTTCATTATGGTGTATGTATTGGTAGAAAATATATCTTGACTAAATTTTCCAAAAAAATAATAAGCAATTTAAGTCAATGGTCGAGCCTGTTTTATTCAATGTAATTTTTTTGTTCTAAATCATAGGACCTTATGATGCAGCAAGATCGTTTGATCCAAAACAGGATTCACAGAGCATTCCGCAGAGCAGAGGAACAACTGCTGAAATCACTGACAGCAAGAAAGGGAGAAGTGAAGGCAAGTTTATGTTGTAAAAATGTGCTAAATTTCTCAAGAAATAGTGCTGCTGTGATTGGGGGAATCTTGGGGCTTGTGCAGTCGAACCTCTATTATCTGGACTTTTCGATTATCCAGACTCGTTACTTGTTGGTCCCGTATTTTTCATGAATATAAATAAGACGTGATCTTCAAAAATTGAAACGTTAAGTTCATGAATCCTTTCAAATGTGTGTTAAAAACACTGTTGTGATCTGTTTCGAACACGAACACTCAAAACAGTAACTTTTTTATTTTGTTAATACATAGTACATACAGCCCGTATGTAAATGCAAGTGGGAGCTGATTCACAATTAAATTTCGTTTTCTTTATTCCCTATCTTTACATTATTGTCTCATTAATATTCATATTTTCGATTATCCGGACTCTCGATTATCCAGACTATTTACTCAAGTCCCAGCAAGTCTGGATAATCGAGGTTCGACTGTACTCATGTATTATTTGTAGGTTTTGGTTTGGTTCAGTTTATGTTTCATCCAGGTCTCCAAGTTTGCACCTCATTTAAGATCAATTTTCTTTGTCTTCAAAATTATGCCTCAGTTTGGAAATTGCTCAATATTCAATAGGGACCTAACTATTCAACAGTGGTAGTGATCCAATTTCAACTTTCTGAAAGTCACCTTTTGGTAACTTAGTTAGTTTCTCTAGTTACTTGGGTTTTAATTGGTTGATAAGATTACCTCGACTACTTGTCTATCTCTAGACAGAACAAAAAAGTCAGCAGTCTCTTTTTTTACTTCTCGGGTGCAGTCCTTGTTTGTTGCCGCTTGCGGCTTTGCCTATCACTGCTTGTGTGTATATGTTACATGTACCTGTGGAGTAATGTTGGATACAAAAAGAGCTGGCTCGTGGTCTATGATCATGCGAGCTTGACAGTTATTGTAAAATATAATAATATAATTATATTTGTCAGGCTCAACATTGCTACATTTCCTGTCATAACACTATTCCGTATGTATTTGTCTTTCATTTTCAGGCCATGTATGGTGATTTGATCCTGGCTGACGGTCAGTATGGTGGAAGTAAAGGACGACGGTGGAAAGTGGATTGGAACAGAACTCCACAGCCAATCCAGATTAAACTTAAGTGTCTGAGAGGGGTCAAAGATAAGCTACCAGGTAAGAAGCACAGTTGTGTTTCATCTTATCCTTACAGGGGGTTTGGATTTTTATGTTGTATTTGTCGAACAGGTTTACTTTCCCAAATCATGAAGTACATAAACAAATTCAAAATAAGTGGTTAAAGAGAATTTTTTGAAGTAAACAAATAATATTTTAACTAAAATGGATGTCAACGTCATCCTGTGTCTTAGCGGTATCCACAATCAATATTGTTATGAGTCTGCCTGGTTCAGGCTTAAAGTTTTGTGTTCAGTCCTTGCGGTACCTTTTTTTGTAGGCAAGAAATTTTGCTCCACCGTCTTTCATCATCCAGTGCTGTCTTGTTCAAAGCTGGGTTACGATAACCCAGTGTCAGAGCAAAATGTACATTCAGATCTGCGAGCCAAAAGCAAACTCAGTTTCATTCTTTTTCAATCTTTTTGTATAAAATTTGAAGATTGGATATGCTCTAAAAGCAATAGAGAAAATTATCCTGGAAAATGCTTTTGAAAAAAACAGGTGAAAGAAAGCGAGATAAAATGTAACCCCTGCTTTGTGCTAATGGGCCTTCAAACAACTGGGCCCAGGGGTATAAAAATATTAATGAGTACTGGCAACATACTTTCTGGTGGTGACCCTGTGATGGACTAGCATATCCACTAGTGTTTTGCTAGTGTGCTACAATAACTGGGTTAAACTGTAGTCATGTGTGTCTTCTTGGCTCATGTATGCCTTTACCTATGATTCAGGCTTGGCTATCAATTCTTATGTAGTAGCCTTTAAAACTTACATGTAGTGACCCAGGGACTATTAATGCACTGGTCTTACATGTATGCAACCACTAGGCCAGACCTGCACTTAAGAAAGCTCATGGTGATTTTTGCCGCATAAGAGGCTCTATTTTAATCAGTGTTTTTTGCTATTCTCACTCCAGCTGGTCGCTATGTTTTGATGGTATCACTGTATGACAGACTGGGTGGCCATGTTCTCAAGTGGTCCAATCTCAAGGGACAGCAGTGGGGTGGAGCTACCTTACCTCTACAGCACGATGGAGAGTTCTTTAACATAGAAGTTAAGGTTGGTGCTCGAATGTTTCTTCGCAAAAACGGTAGTGTAAGTATACTTTGCAATTTCAAGTGCTTGCCAAATATCACAACTGGCTGGCTAGACTGGTCATTTTGAAAATGAAGTAGAATTCTTTTTTAGTTTTTTTTTTGGTCCAAAAAACCACCACAGCAGTGCACAATTTTTGATGTCCCTAAGGAGTGAAGGGATACGGCAGTATTCACAGGGTAGCAAAATTCATACATAATGAAATTATTAATTTGGACTTAATTCTGCTATGGAATGTTGGAAACTTTCTTTTCAAATGGCATTAATGTGAAAATATATCTTTCCAATGTGATAAAATCAAAACAGGATAATGTTATTATGTGGTCTGTGTAAAGAAAACAGATCAGTTTTGAAGATCTAACACCTCCCTGTTTAGGTTACAGAGACAGTTGGTGTTGCAATCACTTATTATTTTTGTTTTGATACACTTATTTTTACATGTTTTTTCAGATTGATCAGAGTGTGTTCACAGTGTGTCCATCTAAGCCGGACGTCCGTCCAGGCATGATTCTTGTATTTGAACTGTTTATTCTGCGGGGGAGTGTCACTCCTACTGACAGGGTGGTAGGGTGGGGCTGTTTCCCCATTTGCGATGGAGAGTTCAACATTGTTGATGGAAAGTAAGCAATATCCCTCTTTCTTAGTATCTTGTAGTTTGCATTTACTCATTGGGTGGGAGTTGGGGAAGGGAGGGAAAGGAGACCTGTTGTATTCCCCCACCCCCTTCTCCCACCCAACAGCCTTCTTGTAGGCTTTGTTGTAATTAAGAAATGGTAAACATGCGGCGTGCAACCATGGAGTTATGGATGCACGCAGGAGGTTGCTAAGCACGAAAGAAGTGTAATATCGCCTCGTGTGACTCTAGCTTCTTAAGTGCTTAGCAAACCTCCCAAGTGCATCCATAACTCCATGGTTGCACAGCTGCAACATTTACCATTTCTTTTATAACATAATCAAAAGAGAAAAACATTATTTTCCATTTGCCTTCGGTTGAGTCATCCGTCCGAGTTCATGTATGCTACCATCTGCCCGCGCGTAAACAAATGATGTTCTATGTTTTTCAAAAACTTGCCTTTGAGTTTTTCTTCCGCTGAATCAACCGTTCTCCGTCTTCAGGTAAATTGCAAAACGTTTTTCGTTGTTATTCTGAATGGAATCTGTCTACTTGCTCTTAATGTTGGGGTAAAAACTTTGAGGGAAAACTATAGCTGCAACTATAAACACCAACTAAAAAGACTCTAAAAAATAAGCTAAAACTAAATAAATGAAATAATTATCAAGCTTACTTATGGGACAATTTTTGAAATAAACGTAAAGTAGAAATGAGAAAATTTGACTGTAATTCCTCTATACGGTGGCCCACAACTGTCACCGCAAAACCAAAAATCTCACGGCAAAACCAAAAATCTCACGGCAAAAACAACATACCTCACGACAACACCAGAAACCTCACGGCAAAACCAAAGTCCTCACGGCAATACCAAATACTTCAGAGCAAAAACCAAATACCTCACGGCAAAAGCAAATACTCACGGCAAAACCAAAGCTATTTTGCTTTTGCTGTGAAGTATTTGGTTTTGCCGTGAGGTTTTTGGTTTGCCGTGATGTTTTTGTTTTTGCCGTGAGGTTTTTGGTTTTGGCGTGAGGTATTTTGTTTTTGCCGTGAGCTTTTTGGGTTTGCCGTGAGGTATTTTGTTTTTGCCGTGAGGTTTTTGGGCGTAGTTACTAAAACAAGGAATGACCTACAATGACCTACAATGACCTACAATGATCTACAATGACCTACAATGACCTACAATGATCTACAATGATCTACAATGACCTACAATGAGCTACTATGACCGAACGTGTACTCCCTGTAATGAACTAAAATGAAGATTTTAGAAAAAGACAAAAAAAAAAAAAAGATCAGGGGACGTGTGTCGTAGTTACTAAAACAAGGAATAACCTACAATGACCTACAATGGCCTACAATGACCTACAATGATCTACGATGAGCTACTACGAGCTACAATGAGCTACTACTAGCTAAAATGAGTTAAAATAAGCCCGACAATGAGCTACAAAATGACAGACAATGATGTTTGTCGTGTGTCACGCTTGGACGTGACACTAGGCTCATGGTATTAAATTGCCAAGCACATTTTGAAAAGGCAAAACCAAAATTGTACCTGAACTCAGGTAACTTGAGAAACTTGAAAATAGATTATGGCAATCGCGTTTTTACCGGTTTAGCACTATTACACCCTGTATTGACGGAAGTCATGCAGGCACTTCCTCATTTGGCCTAGATGGGTATGGGCCGCTGAGCAGGATATGGATTTTACTATTTAGCGTTACAAACAGAGCATCCTGTTGGACCGGAAGCCATTTAAAGGGTCTTATGATGTCTTATACAGGCCAGGGTACTTAAAAAAAATTAACAATTTTTCTTTTGAACAGGATCAGAATTTGAAGGCCTGCTACTCCTTTGTTCACTTCTACCCTTACATCTCTTGAAGATCCCCCTCCCCGGATCGACAGTTGAGGTGACTTTGTTTGTTCAATTTGTTTGAAAAAAAGACAAGACAAAATAAAACTAATACGAAAGGTTGCAAGGGATGGTTTGGACAAAAGTCACAGTATCATCATACATGTATTATTACACTGTAAATTTATCTCCAAGCGTAATAATTAGAGACGCTGTCATCGTTAAATGGGCTGTCATGCAGTAGACTAAACACGTTACGTTTATGCACACGTCCCCTGATCTTTTTTTTTTTGTCTTTTTCTAAAATCTTCATTTTAGCTCATTACAGGGATTACACGTTCGGTCATAGTAGCTCATTGTAGGTCATTGTAGATCATTGTAGGTCATTGTAGATCATTGTAGATCATTGTAGGTCATTGTAGATCATTGTAGATCATTGTAGGTCATTGTAGATTATTGTAGATCATTGTAGGCCATTGTAGATCATTGTAGATCATTGTAGGTCATTGTAGGTCATTGTAGATCATTCATTGTAGGCCATTGTAGGTCATTGTAGATCATTGTAGGTCATTGTAGGTCATTGTAGGTCATTGTAGATCATTGTAGGTCATTGTAGGTCATTCCTTGTTTTAGTAACTACGGGTTTTTGGGTTTGCCGTGAGGTTTTTGGGTTTGCCGTGAGGTATTTTGTTTTTGCCGTGAGGGTTTGGTTTTGCCGTGACAGTTGTGGGCCACCATACCTTTAGAATAACGGGTAACGCTAATTTTAAAAAGAAATTAACTAGCTTTGTATCGAAATCTGTCTGGGGAAATCCAGCTGTGAAAGTCAAAGTTACAACTGAAATTCGCTGACACACAGCCGGCCCTGAAGCTGTGGTTTTTCGACTGTTCTCTAATCGACTGTTATGAATGAACACTGAGGAACAAAATAATACACCCAGAAGTTATTTTTTGAAAAATTTATTTGAAAACCCAAGTGTTTCTGTACTCAAATGAAATTCGCTTATTCCAGCGTAAGGGACGGACCATTAGAAAACTTATTGGGGTGGGGGCGAAGTACCAAAAAAAAATTCGCGCAAGGGAAAATTAAATGAAAAAAAGTTCTTGCTATGACCTAAAAAAAATTCATACAAGGAATTTGATAACGAAGAAAAATTCCTGCGGCTCGAAAATTCTCCTCCCCCCAATAACTTATCTAGTGGTCAGTCCCTAATGTGCCCGTTTAAACTCAACCAAAATTTTTAATCGATACGATGAAGACTTCACAACTAAGCTGTCTCGAATTTGAGCGTGTTTCCTAAAATATTTGCTTGAATTTAGCATCAGCTTGACCAAAAAGTCAATAACACAATGCTAATTGATAAATTTACATTTCAAACAGGCTTTCTCTTCTATAGAAAACACAAAAAATGTACCTTAAATCTTCGCTCGCTCGATTTTCCTTCAGCCGATTCTTGCGGCGAGGAAAACAGTGATTAATTCATCCTGGGCAAATTTGTCGCCTGATCTTTTGTCTTTTTTCCTTCAAAACGACAGCTTAGTATTTTCTTCAACTTCCACTTCTCATCTGTGCATTTCATCGGTGTATTTTACCGTCAGGAGAGGAGATTTGTTGAATTTGCCTAAATTTTACTGCGCTAGCTCAGTTTCTTGACGTGCACCCACGGGCAAATGGTAGTGGCTAACTGACCAGTCAGAGCGCACAATTTACTTTTGTTGTCTTATAATTTACATTACAGTCAACTTTATTAATTTTAAATGGTAGAATCCATTGTGTTTTACTTTTTGTTAACCTAGCCTTGTAGCATATTTGGGACTATATAAATGCACAACACAGTACAGTATACCTCATGTACCTGCAAATGTTATGCATTCTGTGGTGTACAAGTGAGCTCTCTGCTTTGAAACTGGAAGAATCAGGGTTTGGCCTGTTAAGATTCTGCCAACATAGCAGGTATATGTAGTATAAATTTTGTAGAGAGAAGAGCGAGTGAAAAAAATTATATGAGTGTGTGTGCCTTCCATGAGGAGACATGATTTGAGGGTGCTGAATTTCTGCACTTCACTTGTTTTGCTCTTCTTTTTCTGAAAAAAGAATAGAACTTGCAGTTTAAATTGAAAATACAGTTGAATGTAAGGCTTCAAATGGAATATAATTATGGTATCTCTTTTACCTCTTGTGGTTCTCTAAAGGATAGCTATCTTGCATAATTACCGTAAAATTCCGAAAATAAGCCCTGGGGCTTATATTTTTTAAAGGCCTTTTTTGAGGGACTTATTTTTGGAGGGGCTTATATTCGGAGGGGCTTATCTACGGAGGGAATTTTGGGTCTTAAAATCGATTGGGCTAGCCTTATAGTTCGAAGAAAATTTACCGTTTTTGCTTTTTTTTTACTTTGTATTTGAGGGCAATTTTCCAATTACAAGCCGTCGGGGGGCTTATATTTGGAGGTCCGAGTTAACGGAGGTTTTTCACGTTACCGGTTTGGAGGGCTTATATTTGGAGGGGCTTATTTTCGGAATTTACGGTATGTTTTGCTCCTTACTTTATTGATTATTCTCAACAAACAATAACACACCATTATTAATTCCTTTGCAGATACAAGGCGCCTTTTCTGAGAGGTGATATGGATCCTCATATCGATAAACATGAGAAAATTGAAGAGCTGATGGCTGATGATCTGGAAAACTGGCTGTGTAATCTTTATTTTGAGATCGTCAAATTGCCCAGGTAGGGAATGTTGCAATTCAAGGAGTCTGTTACGGGTTTTTTTTGTACTGTACAAGGTGGCTCTTTTAGTCTAACCTAACATTTAATTTATCTATGGACAAGACCCTTTGGTCTGACCATGAAAATGAGGAGGTGAAATTATACTGTAAAAGGTGTTTATAATGCTACTCAAATGGAAGCTACTGAGCAGTACTCTTCTGTGGTGCTGTTTATCCTCCGGTACAAAGTAGTTCCATCTTTTAGGTCTATGAGTGAACTTCTGATGTGTGACCATTCAGTTGAAGAGCTAACCGCGAGTTAATTTTGCCATACAACGTGGGTTCAACTTTTGAACTTGTGGACGAAGTTCTTGTTTGATCTTTCAAATAAACGCCACTGCTTAGAATTTCCATTTTTAACGCCAGGTTTTTCTAAAAAGAAGTTTGAATTTTTCTACTCTGTGCAGGTACATGGCTGGTCAAAAGGAATATGAAGTTGAACTGCAGTTTACATCAGGAATTCTCAGTTACCCATCGCGCACAAATATCGATGAAGAAAACATTGACGGAGAAGAACCCATCTTTGGGTCACGGATAGACCTCAAGTCACCCTCTCCCTCTAGCAGCCGACGAGGCAGCAGAATCAGTATGATGGGGTGAGTTGTTTACCCTGGGATACTCCTGACAACCCTTGGGATACTTTTCATTACCCTGTAGTAGTCTTTGTACCCTAGGGGTACTCCTTATGCCATAAGGGCACTCTTATAACCCTAAGGGCACAAATCATAACTTCAAATCACCCTCTCCTTGAAGCAGCCAGCGAGGCAGCAGGATCAGTCTGAAGGGGTAAGTTACTTGCCCCGGGATACTTCTGACAACCCCTGGGATGCTTTTGATTACGTTGGAGTAGTCTTTGTACCTAAGGGGTGCCCTTCATACCATTGAGGCGCTCCTTGTGACCCTAAGGGTTCTGCTCATAACCTATGTTGTAAGGCTGGATTATCAGCTGCTATTTAGGAAATAAGCCCGCGCTTCTGCCCCAAATAGGTCCGAGGGAACGGCGGAAATGGAGCCTACTATGTTCTTGACTAAACTGTAAAGGCGGCCAGTTACTCGAGTTAGAAGCTACTATGTTGAGGTTTTATTGCAAGGCACGAAATTTTATTGAATTTTTCGATCCATCCCGTGATTATATTGGCCCCCGCCGTGACAGAAATAAAAATGTGGGTAAAGGATCACTCACCACAAATAAAACACAGTCAAACAAAGTAAATTTACTACTATGATTCACAGTTCTTGCCGTTGTCGACGACAATTAAATTTGTATTTAACTATTTTTTTTTGGCGTGTATTCAGGTCCAGTTTCTTTGGAAGCTCAGCGCATATTGAATCGGCCGTGGAAGAGAAGGAGGGCATGGGTTCTAGCCACAATCTACAGGTTGAGGTTCCTGAGATGAGAAGAACTGTAAGTGATAAACTGTAGTTTTCACATTAAATTCTTGTACTTACTGTACTTCAGTTTAAAACGCGTGGTAGTAAATACATTTAACGAGCATTTAAGCAAAAAACAGCCCTTCTTATTCAGATATGAACTAAATGTGTATTCTTGATGTAGTTATAGTTAGATGAAAGTGGAAATAATATTTCGTTGGCATATAGAGTGTAGGAGCCAACAATTAGATGGAATTAGTATAGGTGATAGCATGATTTGTAGTGATATTTGGCATAAATACCAGTGATATTATCAATCATATAGAGTTGATAGTTCAAAATTGTTATACGAAATTTCACTAGCCGTTAGGCAAGTGAAATTTGAGACAATTTTGAAATATCACAAGTGGTATTTATGCCAAATATCACATGCAAATCATGTTATTATTTGTTTATACTACTATCCGCAAAAGGTTTGTAATTGTCACATGTGGGTACTTCAAATTAAGGTGAAATACCACTGCTCTAAGCCAATCAAATTGCAGAAATTTCTCATGTGGTAGTATAAATTTTCTTGTCCTTCCTATGCGCGAATGCAGGTTAGAGTACTACGTATTACGGTGACTGGGGCGTCTTGAACAAAACGAAACGAAACAATCAGACTGTATAAGGCGAACTTTTAAAACCAAGGCAACCAAAAAAATTCAGCCAATCAGCTCGTAGAATTAATAGTTGACTCGAACGATTTCAGTCGTAATTAATTTTTCGCTTTTTTTTGTCTCTTTGCGTTGGATTTACCACAGTTATGCTCTAGATGTTAAACTTTTTTACTTACAAGCTGAATGCGTATGTTTTCAGTCTCTTGCCGTCCCCGACCCAATGTTACGTCAGCGCCGTTCATCCGCCTCTTCACGCCGGTTGTCACGCCCCGTGACTACGCACACGTCACGCAGGGCAGCGGAAGGGGATGCCTCTAGTGATGGTAGCGGGACTGATTACTCTGACGATGAAGTGCTTATGTTAAAGAAAGACGATGGATTTAGGCCAGTCAAGGGTCAACCTGGCATGTACTATAAGGTTTGTATCAGCATCTCAGTCGAGATCTTGTTTTCATTGATAAACTAAACATAGACTACGATTTGTCCCTTAGTTTTAAGAGAACACGGTAAAATGAGCGAAATACGTGAACTCGTGAACAATCGACGCGCGAGTTTCTATTTTCCGCCCTTCACGTGTTTTGTTTGTCTATTAAAAATCAAAATAACAAGGACAAGAACAGCGTCAAGAAACTACTCGCAGTCTTTACTGGACACCTAGATGAATCATCAGGTGACAAGTGGAACGAAAATCTTTTCCCTCTCTCTTCTTTATCAAAATCCGAATAGACCAAATAGTATTAAAAATTTTCAGAGAATTAAGTTTACTAGAAAGAATTAGCCTGTCGTTTTTAAGTTGTTATTGTTGTCAAACTGGTTTTGCGAGTGCGAGTATCTAACTGTATCCAAGCAACATGCAGCGCATGCTCAGCAGAGATCACGTCTTGAAATAGGCCATTTGCCTGATGACGTCATTTTACTACTACGACCAGAATCCTTCAGAGGTTTGCTTTCTTTTGCAGATTAAAGCTTTTGTTACTCAAACCTCGCTGGGACTACCAAATTTGAGTGTGAAAGGAAAAACGAAAAAGATTGTGGTCGTAGTAATAAAATGGCGCCATCGTGCAAATGGCCAATTTCAAAGTCAAAACCCAACGAATAGTTGTGTCATAGGTCATAAACCTGTCCTTTTGTTTGTCAACTTAAAAAAGTGAAGGTTTTGTTCTATTACGTCCAAAAGAATTGATTCTCCGACCTAGAATGTAAACATGGCAAACTGACATCGGCTTTTCTACCATGGTAATTAGCCGGAGTTTAAAAAAAACGGGTCTCTGAACCCTATCAGTTGGCCGGTAATTTGAAGAATTACTTTTCCATTTCAGAAACATTTGAACAACCCAGTAGATGTCCACGCCAAGAAAATGTTCACCATGCTTCCAAAAACACCACTTATGACGCGAAAGAAGAAGCGGAAGAAGCTGACCCATTTGGAAGAACTGGAAGAACATACTTTCACAGTACAGTAAGTAACGCCTGCCTGTTTGGCGATAAGATAAAGACGGCGGCCTCCCGAAGAAGAAGCGGGAAACTCATTTGCTAAGTCTATCTTTAGGGAACCTGACAACAACGTCAACAGCAAAATATTCAATTATTTATAAAAAAGACTTTAGTTCCTGTTCTTCGCGGTTATTCCAACCCTACTATGTAACTCAAGTATCTTGAAAATGAACTTTTAAGCTCCGAAGTTAACAAAGGCAATGAGAATTTTACTGGCACTGCCTAAAAACCTAGAGTTAAACATTTCACGTTATTGTTCTTTAACGCCGCGCTTGTCCAGGGAACGTGCAAAGGGATTGTTATAACTCATCAAACATGTGGCTTTCACGCTACCAATTCTCTTAGTACCGCCGTTTAGGACACTCATGCTCAGCAAAATATTCACTTATTTATAAACGAGACTTTAGTTCCTGTTCTTCGCGGTTATTCCAACCCTACTTTGTAGCCCAAGTATCTTGAAAATGAACTGTTAAGCTCTGAAGTTGACAAAGGCAATGAGAATTTTACTGACTCTGCCTAAAATCCTAGAGTTAAACATTTCACGTTATTGTTCTCCAATGCCGCGCGTGTCCAGGGAACGTGCAAAGGGATTGTTATAACTCATCAAACAAGTGGCTGTCACGCTACCAATTCTCTTAGTACCGCCGTTTAGGACACTCATGCTCAGCAAAATATTCACTTATTTATAAACGAGACTTTAGTTCCTGTTCTTCGCGGTTATTCCAACCCTACTTTGTAGCCCAAGTATCTTGAAAATGAACTGTTAAGCTCTGAAGTTGACAAAGGCAATGAGAATTTTACTGACTCTGCCTAAAATCCTAGAGTTAGACATTTCACGTTATTGTTCTCCAATGCCGCGCGTGTCCAGGGAACGTGCAAAGGGATTGTTATAACTCATCAAACATGTGGCTTTCACGCTACCAATTCTCTTAGTGCCACCGTTTAGGACACTCATGCTCCTTTTCTTAAACTACAGACCTCCATGGTCGAATAAAGGACACATCCCCCGCTATGACCGAGAGAAGATGCAGTATGTTGGCCGTCAGCTCATGGCTGAGCTAGGCCTATCTCAATGGCGGTCTCGGGAGTTCTGGGCCATGCTACTGTTAATTGCCTTCACTTGGTGGCTGAGACTATATGCTCACTATGGAGGACAGTGGGTCTACCTTCAGGCACTTGCCGTTCCTGTTAGCAAGTAAGTAGCATTCATTAATAAATTGAAAAAGTTTTTTTTTTGTGCATTTGGCAACCGTGCCTTGTTTTCCACTTTTCGCGATTTTATGTTTTCCCGCTTGCTCTCTTGACATCAGCCTCAGGTTTTCTTGCTCTTGACAGCCGTTTCTTGTTTTCCACTGTTGGCTCGAGTTGGCACTGAGTTTATGTTTTCCCGCTCTTCGCACACGTTTCATGTTTCCCGCGCTTGACAGCAGCTTCAAGTTTTCCCGCGCGTATCAACAAGTTCTCCCACGCCTGCAGCCGTTTCGTGTTTTCCCACCCTTATCACTGGCTTCATTATTTCTGCTGGCCTCACTGGCGCACTTGTCTATTACGTAGCCGTCATTTGTCTTGTCACGCAACGCTGCTGCCCTTACAGCCCGCCAAAAGGAAAGGAGCATAGTCGTGACGAGACAAGTAACGGCTTTTTAGTCACTTCAATACGGCGCATAGGTTTCCTATGATTTTGTTTTCAGCGGGCCTTAGCTCTTTTCATTTTGCCACTTGTTCATCTCTTGTCCATCCCTAGGCCAGCTAATCTTTTTTCATCTTCACTTCTTTACTGATTTATTTTGTTTTAATCTTTTCCACCACAGATACGATTTTTTGGCGTACACAGTGACTCTCAACTACCAAAGCACGTTGCTTAAAACACGTGAAGAGATCAGTATGGTGGTATTAGGACCTTTCACTAATATCATCATATTCTGTTTGACTGTAATATTTTCCTGGATTCTACAGCGGTTGTACGGTACCTCTCCCAACATCTTCTCACGGTTTATCATGGCCTATGGGATCAACGTCTTATTGGATCCGATATGGATCTTAATTGTGGATTCCGCCCTCATGAGGTATGATGCTCTGTGATGACCTTTGTTAAAGAAACTTTTGAACCGAAGGTTTTAAAGCAGCCTACGAATGCAGGCAGATTAAGTGGTGGACAGCTAAATATACTTGTATACGCTAGCAGGCTGCAAAGGTTAAGCGAGACAAACTTTTTTATCAGTTAAAAATGAAAATTGCAGTCAGTTTAGTTTTTAGTAAAGACTGGACTGGTCGATGGAATATATTTTTGCTCAGGAAATTGTTTTAAAGAGTATTGAATCTCCTTATATTTAGTTTGCTTTCCAACAATGGAAGACCAATGTGATAGAGTAAATTCATAATTAAATTCATTCTACGAAGAAAAAGTATTTTTTCTTTCTTTTCTTTTTTAAAAGAGGTACCCATGTTTCATTCGACAGTGTTCAGAAATGTTTCGTACTGTTTTTGCTGGCAACAATTTAGTCTCCTTTGTCTACCAGACGTGTTGAAGCTCTTTGTAAATTGTTTCAAAGATAACTACTTATCAAGAGAAAGGGTCATCATTGGCATGAGAATTAATAAAATGATTAGCAAGGGGAAAATGCTATGATCTTTTAAAAATTATCTCATCTAGTTAGTCCTCTAAAACCTCTTTATACAATGTTTTAAAGAAATCGATATTTTCAACTACTTGTCTAGTCGGAATAAGTCCCCAAGATCGAGTGACAAACATCAGTTCTCCCCAAAGTAACAATATCAATACACAATCAAGATAAAAAGTCGCGAGAATTTATAAAATGATCACCAAGGAGATAGTGCTTTGATCTTTTAATAAATTCTCCCATCTACTTATTTAATGTAATATGGAGATCAGTCTTGAGAATTTGTACTTTGATCTTCGAGCTTTAAGGATTTAAACTTTTCTTTGTTATAGGTATGTGAACGTGGGAGGAGATGTGCCAATAGGAGATGCCTTCAAACTCTACTGGCATTTTATCCGCTTTGAGAACAACGGAGCTGTGGGAATAGTTTTGACAGTGTTTCTGTACATTGTTACCATTTTCACCTCCTCTGTCGTCATCTACTTTTACTTCCTTCGAATTCATAACAACGGTCGCCTCATGGACGTTTACCACCGTCTCCACGCGCGCGAGGATGAGTTTTTCATTCCTTACGATCTGGAGATATCAAACGTGGAGCTAAGTTACATATCCAAGAAAGCAGAGCAGTACCGCGGGGAGGAGGGAGAGAGGAGAAAAACGGCTGTGTATGACTACATTTGGGAAGAAGAACAGGTAAAATTTGTTCTCTTTGCTTTTGTGGATATGTTTTGTGCGTGCTTTGTATTATTTTGTTAGAATTGTATCGGCTGAACGGTTACAAAATTTTCCCGCGTAAACCTGGTTGAGCAGCGCGGTAAAGAACTGCTTTGAAGTTACGTTGTAAAACAATGGTCAGAATCAAAAGTTTTCATTGGTTTGTGCCTAATCACTCTGATCCAGTCCTGCTCTTTACAGATTGACGAGTCAGACATGGGTACCTCGGACCGCAAGAAGACTGGGCACCGTGAAATCACTACACACGTGTCCATACACACGATTCACCTGGATGGATTGCGGGAATTGTATAGGCACTTCCTTAGGCTGCCTGATGGTGCTGTTGTAGAGGTCAGTATTCTACACATTTGGTTGGAGTGCCTCGACATGGATCCATGGCACTGGTGGATCGATATGAACGGTGGGGTGGTGTTTGGGGCCCTCATCAAGGCTATGAGATTAAAGGAGAGGGGTTTCTCTCCAAATTTCCTGGCCCTTTAGGCCTCGATTTGGTCTGAATGACTGCTGTGCCCCATGAGCCTTATAACCGTAGTCTGCTTGACAATTAAAATAGTTTTTAATTACACTTAACATTGAGGTCTGGTACGAACATCTCAACCAAAAGAGATCCTGCCATAAGAAGTACCGGCCGAGTTTAAGGAGGCAGTGTGATGTAGCGGTTAGACACAGGGTCCAGAGGAGTTTCGTGTGAATAAATGAATTACTTATTTAAAGTCTTCACCTTGAAAAATGTCTATACCTGTCGCTTAGCGCTATTAATTAGCCTAATGGGATCTTAATGAATCTACTGTAAACGATTTCTTCGCCTCTTATCTGACCCAGATCGACTTTGTTGTTCGCCATTTTGAAAATCAATAACCGCAAGCCATATCCTCGCTGAAGCACGGAACGTCGCCCGAAGGGTGACCGAAGGCCGTCGCCCGAAGGGCGACCGAGGCACTGTAAGCCCTCAGTCTCTTGGTTTGCGGTCAACAGAATGTGTAACGAAACTGTAACGCGATCAAAATAACCCATTTTTAGAGTCCGATCTTGCGAGCCCTCAGTCTCTTGGTTTGCGGTCAACAGAATGTGTAACGAAACTGTAACGCGATCTAAATAACCCATTTTTTTCAGAGGTTTTCGACGGGTTTTGATGTTCTAACGACAAACACATCTCCTCTGGACCCTGTGGTTAGAGCGCTGGAATTTTGATCCTGAGGCCCCGCGTTCAAAACCAGCCGTAACCGCGAGCTGAATTTGTCTTAACGATACCCCCGAGTTCAACTTGTCGGTCACGATTTTGAATAGCCAAATAGTTTGCCTCCGGTCAGTTTGGATTCTTAACCCTGTTATTTTCATTTTCAAATGTTTGTTTCTTCCCTTATTTGCGGGCTACAAAAAAAACTGCTGGATAACCAGTAATTGTGGTTCCCCTAGAAAGTCAATAGGGAGCTTAAGCAACGACCACGGCGACGGCAATGAAAACGGCAAAAAAGCAATAGGACGGTTTAGATTAGCAAAACAATAACTTTGCACTTGCATTACGCTTTTTGGAACATTTCTTTGCTGTCGTTGCACGACTACGACGTGAAAGTGCCTAATTTCACGTTTTATCGAGGACGGGAACACAAGACAAAAACTTTATTTTTTGTCTTGAACTTTGATAGAGTCGTTTAGAATTCAGCTCCAAAAAACTTTGCCAACATTTGACGAATTAATCGAGATGCAACAAGCGCGATAAAGTTTCAGGCAGCGTGAATTCACTTTTTAAGTGACGTTTTCGTTGTCGTCGCCGTCGCCGTCGTCTTTGCTTAAGCTCCCCAATGTTCATCAACCTCGTCCCCAGGGCTTTGAATGTTCATTTATCCTTTCTTGCCTATCTATAGGTGTTTGGAGAAATGGGTGTGGTGGGAATGGATGAGAGTATCAAACAGGCTCTCATTAAAGGAACTACGTACCAGTCCATGGACAGCGCCAAGGGCTCACGGGCGAGTATACGAGGGAGGTCCCGGACCGGGTCAGGAATTAGCGAGTCATCACTTCGTAGGCCTTCAGTTATGCTAGAAGTTCCCAAGACTTCGCGGGCACCCTCACCAGTGTAGGAAAGAGGCGAGCCCGCTTTGCGAAACGTAAATGTATAAAGCACGATCGAGGCATTTTCTGGCATAGGAAAATTGAGTCACTGGATTTTAGATAAAGGTTACTGTCATGGGAATTCTTGGAATTCTTTCTTACAACCTAAGCAAATATTTGTAAACTTGCGCTATAGGGTACCTGCTCCCCTAACCCAACGTTAACAAGAACTTCTCACTTAGGTCAAAATGTTGAGTTAAGGGAGGAGTGGGTGGGCATTTTTCATTTGCGCAGATCAGTATAAAATTCAAGGACTCTTGCCCACCTACCCCTCCCCTAATTCAACGTTAATACTAATGTCTCACTTAGGGTTTATAGATTTAATTATAGAACCTGAGGAAGTAAGGCTAACTTCAATCCTTTTCTTGGTCATCATTGGGTAAATCCATCCTTAAATTGTTTCATTCTTAAGTATTTATGAAGCAATTCATTACAAAGTTGAACTTTTTACATATCTTCATTGTTGCAAGTACAACTTTATTCTTTATTTTTTTCTGTCTACTTGGGTCATTGGTCTTGATAAAACAAGAGATTCTCGCATCAGTCGTACAGAATTAGTCAGTATGGAAAATAGCCACCTTTATGAGTTATTATGACCATCGCCAGTGCGTGATCTTTCACGAGTCTTTGGTCCAGAATAAACTTGAGTAAAGTTGTAGGTCTGTTTTTTACTGACTTTTACACTTTGTCCATTCAGTGAAGGAGATTTGCATTTTAGTCAAGACAATTATCCCTAAGATTTTCTTGCCGGACAAGACTTCTTTGTAAATATTTTTACTTAACTATTGAAACTACAGGTAATGGTTTTTAACAAATCCAAGAACCTTTTCACGTATATTTATTTTTAACCTAGTTAGTGCCATCTAAAAAGTGATACCGTAGCTTCATTTATCTTTTACATTCTTTGTGAACATTCATGCACGGTTGGTTACACATGCGCTGCTACGACGTTTGTAATGTACTTATTTTAACCCTTTCAATCTTTTAGACTACAGTAATCACGGTGTAGGTTATTTATTGATTCTACTAGAGAACGCAAGTAACGTAACGTAACGTAACGTAAAGTAAGAACACATTTCTGGTTCACCTGAAATGTGTTGTAGTCAATAGCCTCTTTGAACTGGATGTCTATTTTATATACAACGAAGGAATAATTTTGTAATAAATAATTATTGCAGCAGCTCAGAATTTCTTGGTGCTGGTTTGGCTTTTGCTGACTTCCATGGCTCCTGCCCTCCTTAACTCCCTCATGATGGGAAGATATCTTTCGAACTTAAGTTGTTGAAATTATGAATACTCGCAAGCGTGTAGCCTGCGTGGCAGGCATTAAAAGGGGAAGCGGGAATTTGGGTGCGGGAGAGCGCTTGGGACGCGCGAGGGAGAAAGGAAAGGAACCTCCTCCCTCGCGCGCGGTCTCGCGCCCTAATTCCCTTCCCCTTCCCTTTCGAACGCCTGCCACGCAGGCTAGCAAGCGTGCGACATTGATAGATGGAACATGACTTTTCGGGTCATTTCAGTGGCAAATTTCAAGTCCTGGTTTCCCGGTCGGAATTTTCCAATGGGAAATAGGCCGCTTCCGAGTTCCAAAAACCAAGTGCACAACCTTTCTTGTGAAAATGAGTTTTATTTGCATGAGAATGAAAAATACCCTGTAAATATCATTCCATATCAAAGGCATAGCATTTAACCTCGTTTTGATACGGAGACCCGGAGGAACTCGGAAATGGCTTCTCCACTTCTTGAAACCCATCCTTGATGCCAGCTAATTTCAGGCCTTCGCGGCCGTTTTTTAGCAAATGGAACCAAGTGAGGATAATGGAACAGAGAAGGAATCGTAGGGCGTTGGCCAAGAGACGTGAATCTCATTAAAGTTATATTTGATGGAAGTCTAATTCCTGAGACGTCTGCAAATTTTAATTGATTGTTTGAAATGACTTTAAGGCCAGGCGCGGCTGCTTCAAAGCAAAAATTGCAGAATATTGTATTAAATTAACTGCAAAAACCGTGGACGAAGATCCTGCTGGTTGTAAACGTTGGATCTCTAGAATATTGTGATGGCGATTTTTGAATTCTCTGTTGACAACACTGAATAAACGTTTGCGGACCTCCCCGGAAAAAAAAACTTCCGAATGATTGGTTGGTCTAAAAATAACTCAGTTTGGTGAATTTCACATGTCCTCCCTTGATGGAACTGATTTGAACAAATGGTAAACACGACTCCGGGCGAAATTAGCCAGTCCTCAAGGTTGCATACCATTTGCCCCTACCGTGAACAAGGGTGATGCTCGATATGCCAAGCCAATATATTCACTATCGTATCGTTCTATTGTGTGGAGTTTATTGTGTTATTGTTTGAGGGCTAGGGATCATTGTTATGCTCTTAGTGACGTAACTCGAGACTTGCTATTCACTCGGTATATTTGCACCAGCCGTGAACCGACCGGTTTGTCCACACAAATAGTAAGCTAATGGTAAAATACCAACGAAGCACACAAGGGCTTCTTCTACGGATCAGGCACACTCGGTCGTACATCGGTCTCTCGACTACCCCTCAGGAAAGTAATCCGGAAAATCAAACGTGGTGAGTTAAAATCTGAGTTTATTTTCTCTTAAATATCATATGAATATATACTTTGAATACATTTGATTGATTACATTTTCAATAGCTTACTTTAAAGTATTTAAGGTTTCAAACTGACGAAGGTTCTGACGCAAGACTACTTCATTGAGGCAGCAGCAAGGTAAACATCTTCGACCCTTATCTTTAGCCAGATTTCTGGAACAAAAACAAAAGTACAGGAAGCATAGGAATAACTAGCCTGCGCGCAGACGAAATTAAACTCTGGTTAACTCCGTCTGCGAAACAGCGCCGAAATCCTTGTTCTGGACTTCCAGCTGTGTACCCAGATTTGAGTACGCACCACGATTGGCCAGTTAAAAAAGACTTTTGTTTTGTTTGTCGCAAGACTGGTAATAGCCAATCAGGTTGAAGGGAAATTCGAAACGCACTTCCGGTAATTCGTTGAGTCGGCTGGAGGTCCAGAACAAGGATCTCTGCGCTGCTTCGCAGACGGTACTAATCAGAGTTTAGTTATCGTCTGCACGCAGGCTAAGGAATAACGAGAGTGACTAATTTGCAATGATTGTCTGGCTTTAGTCATTTTCGTCATTTTAATGACAAAAATCAGGTACACATTACATTTTAACTGCAAGAGAGTGAGGAATATCGCTGTCAGTGCGAGTTTCAGGTCTATAAATACTGACACTACGCTATAGAGCGTTTAAACATGACGTCATGTCCGCCATATTGGTGCTCCAAAACAATGAAACGGCGGCCATGTTGGTGTTCCCGAGCCAGTTCTGTAAGAGTTGAACTTTTTTGTACATGTCACGCTTTCTGCGTAGAGACATTTACGCGGTAACTGGCCCTGTCGAGATGCCATCAGTGACGGAACGAGGGGAGGGGCCCGCCCCCCCTCCCCCCCCCCCAAGGGGAAGGTCTGGATCTGCCACTGGGCATGATAAAATTTTCATGTCCCCTTTAATTGCCGAATGTTTTTCTTGCTCCTTCCAGGGAACACGTTAAGCGGCCACAAAAAGTCGTGGCAACATTGTTCCTCTTATGTAGTAGCCAGTAAAGCTGTCAAAAAGGAAGGTTACTCTATATCTATGAGTAAAACCAAATAAATTAATTTGCTTTTGTATCTTAATTATCTGGCATTTGGGAGAGACACCGGATAGGTGCCCTGGTTGACCGGTGACTTGACCTGATATTTAGATTCAGCAAAACCGTAATCCGGAGCCGCTGTTAAACACTAGTAATTTAGATGAAAAAATCAACTTGTTACTATTTTAATAGAAGTAAATACCTCTGATGACAGAAAATTGAAAAAAAAGGAACCTGCGGCTCCGTGATCCAAAGAAAGATATCACCTGGTCATCAGATGCCCAATTTTGAATTTAAGTGGAGTGAGTTTATCACTCTATAAAAAAGTAAGTATTGTTTTCTCTTTTCAATATGGCTGCTTTGAACGTCCCGTTAAGTTTGAAATTTCAGATCGGCCCACATGAGTCAGAGCAGATGGATGGACGGACGGTCGGCCGCACAGTCCCCCGGCAAAAGCAAAATTTTTCGCATTGAACGGAAGGTAGGTTATTAGATTTACTTACAAAATTTACTTAAAAACAAGATAGTTATAAAGATATTTGACCAACACTTACTAAGTTCTTAGTAATAAAGTCTTGCAGCTGAATCAGACGTCCTAGAAAGAAATGGATTATTTGCGTTAATTATGCAAAAGATCCTGACACGGTCGATGATATAACGGGTGTTTTTACTCTATTTTGCCTCAGGTTTACACAATTCTTTATCTTCCTATGTATCTCTCTGTATTTTTTCCTGATAATTCGCTCTGAAGGTTAATGACCTGGGCCGAGTTGTTCAAAGCTGGGTTAAGATAACCCAGGGTTAGTGCGGGATTTGAATTCAGATTTGAAAGCTTATAAGACGCATTTCAGTTTTAATGATTGGAAGCTCTAAAAATAACAGAGAAAATTATCCGAGAAAATGCTTTTAAAAACAAGAAATAGAAACCCGGTTTAAATTTAATCCCGGGTTAAGCGCTAATCGGCCTTCTCCTGGCCCAGCCTAGATTAGAATAATCCAGTTTCGAGCTCGCTATGACCGCTGAATCAAAGAAGTGAAGACGCATTTGTACACGCTTAGCCTCCATCTGAAGTAATATATCCACAAAATCCAGCGAGAAGAAGACCTGTTTATTACTCTGTCTATTGTGTATATTCAAATTTCAAACACCTACTTGCGGGAATATTTGAATATTTTACTTTATGTCGAGGCTAACGCCGTATGAATGTGTTTGTATTCAGCGGTAATTTTTAATTCGAAACTGCACTATTGCTAGATGTGGACGCTGGCCACGTTTTTGTACTGTGTGTCGATTTGTGTCCAAAGATCGTACACATTTATTTGCGATTATATGAAAGTGTGAAATGTGTAATACTCTGCTGCATTTAATTTTTAATTGGATATTTGCTAAACGAAGTGTATTTTTTTTACCATAAGCAGATAAAGAAATATACAAGGAATATAGTTAATAAATACACACCGCAAAGGAACACCCATCCTCGGAGACCCAGGGGCAGATAGTGGGAGCGAGGGAAAGTCTAAACGGGCGGAAAAATATGGCACGAAGAAGAAAGAACGGCGAGAAGAGCCCCTGGGGACAATGTCTTGCCAGACCAGTTCCAAACGGTCGCCGCCGTTCTGCCTCCTGATTGGGCAGAAAAACTTTTCTATCTGTCCCTGGGTCTCCGAAGATGAGGAACACCCAAAACAGCTAAAAAGCCATCATGGGTGACCGTCGTTATCATCGTTATTAAAAATATACAAAGTCAGAAAAGAGGCCTGGAACTAATTAGTCAGATAGATTGGAAATTATTTGTATAATATCCAAAGTTGTTGACTGAAGGAAAAGACACATTTAAAAGGGCTTCGCTCACCGCTGATGCCTTGAACAAACACTTTAATACCTGCAACAGACGAATCAGCGTTAATTTTCAAAACGACCCTGCAGTGGAAACCATTAAGGGCCCATTATCGTATCTCGTTGCTACGTAACCCGGCACATGCTAACAGAGGAGCATTCTGTCTGCGCATGTTTTCGTAGTTCACTCGTTTTTGGACTGGTGCGGTATTGCTTCCTTTTCGTTCACACTCGTAGATTTTTCCGCGTATAGTAACTGACAAGAATAAAAGGGTATAGTAATGAAAAGGATTTTGAAAAAATCGTATTTATTGCGTAAAGTCTTGTCCATAGTGCCAGTCGAAAGGGAACTCATGCTAATCTTACGTCTTTGTACTGTTCTTGCTTAACCACCGAAAATGAAATCTGTCCGCGAAAGGGAAGCACATTTGGGTGCGGTTACACTAAACATATTCCCCACAG